ACGACACAAATTATCAGTGGAAACCAGTTACCGTGTCCCATTTTATTATTTGAATAGAAAAAGCCTTAAAAACGTCTGGTAGACTCAGACACACATGTACTGTAGTGAACTGTCTATTGATTCATCTATCTAATATATAATATGTCAACTGTCCTTGTCACAAATAGAATATATACTTTTCTTATTATCACTCTCTATTAGGTCATTTTAAGACTAACATATAGGCTAATTGTGTTCTATAGTCACATGTTGGGGAGGAGACATTGTATATACACTGTACATGTATTAATATAAATGTAAATAGGCTAATTGTGTTCTATAGTCACATGTTGGGGAGGAGACATTGTATATACATGTATTAATATAAATGTAAATGGTAATTAATGATTAACAGGACCTGATATTAGTCATCTGATACAATATCTATATAACACACAATATATTCTACATTTCAACCTTATATTAGGGGGGGGGGGATTAGATGCTTCAATTTTATTTCAATAATTCACATGAACGTACGGGAGGAAACCAGAGGACCCGGAGAAATTCTACCATGATGGACAGGCGACCCTACTCCTTGTCACGTACAAGCGGGGATTCGAAACCACGCCCCACTTGACCCAATGACATACCTTGTAATTTCACACGTACACGTCAAACCATTGGACCGTCTAACCTCCCAAAATACGAGTTAGTTGCATTTTGTCAGGGTAGCGGCTTACCACCTACTCTTCCTGGTTTATTTCAAGGATTCTTGTATTTACGTCCCAAGGGTTGTATATGAGTTGACCTCAGTTTTTTTTCCCCTTCCAAATGACGAGGGCTGTCATCAGTCCAAGTATCAAGGTTTGAATCCCGGGCTTGTATGTGGTAATTAAGAGAAGGGTGTTGTTATTTTTTAACTTTTGTTAGATGGATATGGAATGAAAACCACTTGAAAATGTTGAAGCGTTCTGAGAAAATCTAGATTTTTAATTGTGTATATGTATTTGTCAGATATCATCATGAATTTAATCACATCATGGATATATACATGTTTATTATATGGTGAGTGTACTAAATGACTTAGTTGCTGATTAACCTTTGAAACTTGGTAGGATTATTCATTGATTCAATTGAGCAGTTGGATGGTCGAATGGTTTGTCCGGGCGCATTTAATAAGGTTGGCCGAGTGATATCATAAAAGGTCTGTCATTGAGTCAACTGGTGTGGTTTTCTCCAGGTCCTCCGGTTTCCTCCCACTGCCAAAGATTCCTACGCGCAAGCGGATTATTGAAATAAAATTGAACTAAGTGTTAGTCCCGAAATGACCTAGTTTGTGGCGAGTGGACGTTAAACCCCGTTTATCTCTTATTGTTTCAATAATTACAGTGTCCGTTTTTTTTTGCCTTTTGGGCAAGCCGCGATGGATCAGTGAGTAAGGCATGTACTCGCTAACAAGGGGGTCACAGGTTTGATCCCCGGTCAGTTAATTGGGATTTTTGCGCGTGTTTTCCCCTTGTCAGTGATGTAGGAACTGGCAAGGACAGCATCCTTTGCAGGTGATGAGAACTGTATATGTAACTGAATTCTTATTAAATAAATTTTTAATCTTTTTTACAAATGTGACTTAAATTTATGTCCAGTTTAAAGGTTGTTTTAAACAAACTAGCGCCATCTTTACGTTTCAGTGAACATATTTCATCAGCAACTTTTTAATCTAATTGATTCGAGTCCGAGATTATCTATCGTTAACAATAACTAAATAAAATCTTAAAAAGGCTATGAAATAAAATATCAATAGGCCTACAATTTGAAATGGTTTTCTACATAAAATGATAAAAATGCTATAAAATCAATGACTAGGCCTACAATTTAATATTTGGTAAAAGATGAGTAAAATGTCCGTTTAGACATTTAAGACTTTGATACACTTGAATTTTAATTCCTAGATGTATATGGCTATGTGCGTTTTTAATTTTCATACCAGGAAGTGGTCGGTTAGTCAGACTGATAATACCCAAACTGTCTTCTCCTACATAACAAGGAAGATAATTGACTAACGGAGTAGCCATTTTATATGATAACAAATACATTGTGTAGACATGGTTTATACACGATTCATCTAGCAGGGAATTCAATAGAATAATTAATACTCTTACAACAGACTTGTTGGATTATTGTTTTAAATATAAACATGAATATACTGTGGTGAGTGTTTTATTTACATCTAGTAGGGAGTTTAATAAAATCATTTACTTCCAGTAGGGATAATAAATAAAATGAAATGGGGTTTAACATGCTAGGGATAATAACACGTGACACAATTATAGGGAATACAAGTTACTTGAAGGGTTTATTTCAGCCACGTTTCGACACAGGTTTTCCCTCGTGGAAACGTCGCTAAAATAAACCCTTCAAGTAACTTGTATTCCCTATAATTGTGTCATGTGTTATTCTCATCCAGTTACTAAATGCTGTTTATAGAATTAATTTCTAGCAGGGAATTGATGAATAGAATCATTTATATTTGGTAGAATAGAATCAACCGTTCAACAGACATTTAAAAGAGAGAGAGACAAATGGGGTTTAACGTCCACTCGTCACAAACTAGGTCATTTCGGGACTAACATATGGTTTAATTTTATTTCAATAATTCGCTTGCGCGTAGGGGTCTTTAGCAGTGGGAGGAAACCGAAGGACCCGGAGAAAACCCACGAGGTTGGACAGGCGACCCTACTCCTTGCCACGTACAACCGGGGATTTGACAGACATTTAAAGTAGCGTTATTATTATTAATTTATAAAAACCAACCATGTCCAGTCCTTTTTAAAGTGGCAATATTATTATAAAAAACAACAATGTCCATTTTAAAAATTTTGGTTATTAATTTATGAAAACCAACCACATACAGTCATTATACAGAGAGTTAAACTTAATGGTCATAAACAAACTTAATGAATTTTTCAAACCTCCACATTTCATAAACATACATTATTCAAGAGGTATAGAATCTGACTATTGCAGGTCTTTCTTTAGGCCTAATTATTAATTAGACATTTATTAACTTGACAAGACCATAATCATGATTTAGTTTAAAAATGGAGAAGCGAGGCTAAGCTTCGAACATCCAGGTCTTTAGCAGTGGGAGGAAACCAGACAACTCGGAGAAAACCCACAAGATTGGACCAACGACCCAAATCCTTGTCACATACAACAGAGGAATCGAAACAACGCAAGTCTGTAACTCAATATTATCCAAAAATATTACAAACGCTGGAGTTTAAGGGAACTAAGTCTCTAACTCAATATCATCCCAAGTCTTCAAGAAATGAAATGAAATGGGGTTTAACGCCCTACTGTTCTGCTCCGAAATGGGCTAATGAAGACGGCATACATTTATATTACATTATTATATGTGTTGTGACCCATTTGTGTCAATTTCTAGATCCCAAATATTAGCGATTTAGCTACTTTAAAGGAACTAAATCCCCATTATTTGGCACCTAGAAATGAACACAAATGGGTCGCAACACATACAGTATAATGAATGTATAAAAACGGATTTACATTCAATCAGTTTCTACTCTAATTTCTAATCATTTATGTTAGGCGAAATATACGAAGAGTACAAACTTAATGGCGTCTGGTTATTCCACTCTACTGTGGGGTATGTTTAGCCTTGTTCATCGAGTCGCTTCATTACAAATGGCACTTGAAAGTATTCTGCCAATTTTGAGTTTTCATTAAGTCTTAGATATTGGATATCAGAAGCTCATCTTTTCCCTGTAAGAAAAACAACATTAATGTTGATTTAAATTGACCGATAATTTGTGTATACAATGTCGAAGGCTGTGGATGATAGTTAGAATTTTAAATTCATATACATATTCAATAATGAATGTGATTAAAAAATGATTAATAACAACAAATAACTCTGTTTGCATAGAATCAATCCAGCTTTAATAATTGTCTTTTGTGATTTATTAGAAGTATGTGATTTTGTCAGGTATTTCCTTACCTGAGCAAGTTTAAGTGTCAGATTAAATTGTGAAATTTTTGTAATCTCTATTTTGAATTCTTGTGTTAAATACACTGGGTTAATAAATTGTCATGTTCTAAGATTACTTAATTACACCTGCCTGTAGCTGGTAGTAAAAATTACGGTTTAAAATTTCATGACATTTCAATAATATACCAGTTTAGTTTTTATACAGCTGATTATTAGCATTGAGTCAAGTGGCATGGTTTTGATTCCCTGGTTGAACGTGACAAGGAGTAGGATTGTCTGTCCAACCTTGTGGGTTTTCTCCAGGTCCCACTAAAGACCCCTAAGCGTCAGCGAATTATTGAAATAAAAATTGAACCATATATTAGTCCTGAAATGACCTGGTTTGTGTCGAGTGGAGGTTAAATCCCATTTCTCTCGCTCTGTGATTTTTTTCTGTTTTTGAAAATTGTCCAGCACCAAGTTCAAAATTCCAGACACTGGGTCATTTAGTTTGCTGGGTATATTACTAACACTGTTATTTCACGCCCTCGAAACTCACTCAGGCTTCTCCAACCTGCTGGATATTCTCCGGGTTTTCTGGTTTCCTCCCACAGCTAAAGACCTCTCTCTCTCTCTCTCTCTCTCTCTCTCTCCCCCCCTACCTCAGGCTTCAAGATACTCTCTCTCTCTCTCTCTCTGGTGAAATAACTGGTAGATTAAAACCAGTAGTAGTGTGTATCAGATGGACCCCTCTCTCTCTCTCTCTCTCTCTCTCTGGTGAAATAACTGGTAGATTAAAACCAGTAGTAGTGTGTATCAGATGGACCCCTCCCTCTCTCTCTCTCTCTCTCTCTCTGTCTATCTGTCTATCTCTCTCTGGTGAAATAACTGGTGAGTAAAAACCAGTAGTACTGTCACATTCTTAATCTAATAATAAACACAAATTGTTTGTCTTGACTTAAAGTCATCGTAAAAAACCGTTAAGACTCCAACTTAGGTTGATGTCATGGTCATGTAAAGCTTGTATGATGTTGTGACTGTTAGTAAAAAGTCGTGTTGGTTTGTAGCGTACCTGTGAATTACCTGCGTACAGGTAACTTGTTACAACCTTCCTGGCCAACCTGTTGACATTATATTTGGTGAACAAGTTTTTAGTGATTTAGTTTTGAGATTAGCGAAGACGACCTGGGGTTAATCTTGATAGTTATTGTGTGCAGTGTTAGATAAACATTTCTTGAAGGATATGTCGTTCAATTGAGGATATAAACAAACGATATAGGTGATAATAAGGATGTAATTCAGACTGATGATAAAATAGAATGGGACACAATAAATTAAAGGAAATGTTCAGTTTACATCACATTTGAGAAATGTTGAAGAAGAAACTTCAATTATGTACCATAATATGAAACAAGTGAAGAACAATAATTTGTGATGATAAAATTATTTCAATTGTAAACTGGGATGTGATTCAGACGGATGAAAATAAATCAAAATAAAGAAAATGTAACCTTATAACTTGTGAATTCAGGAAACTTAGATATTGATTTGATCAATTTTTTTTAAAGAGGCATTAGGTAAGATTAGATAAAGAGTTGACAGTTCTCGCTATAAGTTAATATGTTGAAAATTACTTAATTCTCAACCTAGATATTAGCGATTCAATTTTAGGCCTAGATATTAGCGATCCAATTTTAGGCCTCGCCTTGATTGTCATTACTATTTTTACGGTTATTTCATCCATATCAACTAAATATCGCAGGATAACAATGGCGTCAAGAGTTGATTATGGTCTGGATGTGTTAAGATAACTTTTAAGGCCTAAAGAAAGACGTGCAATAGGCAGATTTAGCTCTTACATAATGTATGGTTAAATGAAATGAAATGAAATTGGGTTTAACTTCCTACTGTTCTGCTCCTAACCTGGGCTAATGAAGACGGGCATACGCCATACAGTGTACTATGAGGGAAAGTTTGCCCGGGCAGCGGCGCTATCACCTACTCTTATATTGAATTCCAACTGCCAAGGGATGGATGTTTAATATACATGTCATATTAATGTACATGTATGTGTGAAAAATAAAACAATATAACAATATATTTAAAGGACAATATTGGTGCCAGTCATTATCACATATGTGATAGAGCTGGTTAAACACGTTCCAAATATAATTTTATCTCAGAGATCATTGCTACGGTAGCTGAGTAATACAGGTTTCCTGAATCGGAAGTGACAAACGCCAAAGGAAAACACGAGTCAGCTCTCTATATAACTGACTGATGTGACGAATGCTAACGGATATACAGGCGAATTTTATTTCATTTTGTATATCCTGTAAAATTTACCTCCCACTGCTAAAGACCCCTACGCAAAAGCAAATTATTGAAATAAAATTGAACCATATGTTAGTCCTGAAAGGACCTAGTTTGTGTTGAGTGGACCTTAAACCCATCTCTCTCTCTCTCTCTCTCTCTCTCTCTCTCTCTCTCTCTCTCTCTCTCTCTCTCTTCTCTCTCTCTCTCTCACACAAACTAAATTAAAATTTCTTGTATATTTTCAGTTATAATATTTGTGAAGTCTGATGTTGGAGTTATCCAGTGTGCCGACTACGGGTGTTTTAAACTTGTGTTCAATATTGTGATATTCGTAGACCTATAATAGTATAAACATGGGGTGTATTAACACGAAAGCAACTGGGGGATTCGATGACCCGATGAAAGGACCTAAAAATGGAAGTATTAGAAGCAGTGGTTCTAGAAGGAAGAATAGTTATACCCAGAATCCAGTTGGATTAACGCAAACTGGTCCTAGTGGTAGGTCATGGGTCAATCTGATTAAAACACTGATCCAATTTCGTTTCATTTTATATAGTTTTTACTACACTAGGATCTGGATGAGTTGTCATATAACCTGCATTGTGATTGATGTCAGGGATTAGCCAATGAAACAGTCTGTTATGGCAGGTTTTGGGCGTGAGGTGCACGGAACTGTGGGTAACCCACAAGAAACATCAACGCTGATTGGTTAAATAAATGTCATATGGTCAAAAGCCAATCATATGACCACTGACACTACATTCAGTCAGATCTCCATGTAGTGTAGGCCATCGAAAGTATAAAAAAACGAAACAAAATATAGATGTGTATTTTAATCTGATTGGTCATATATTTAATATATTTAATTTAAATGGTGCAGACGGAAGAAACGGTATCTAGTTGTACATATAGGATGGGAGACTGCGCTCATCTGTCTGTACACACTGGCGTGCATATAAAAGAACTCATGAAAGTTTCAGTTCAAATTAAGGGTAAGCCGTAGCGCTGCTATCTCGGTAAAATTTCCCTCATAGTACACTTCATGCCACAAACAATAAAATGATATATTTACCAATTTCTAAACTGACACTAGTGAATTATAGGATTAATATAATTATTCTTTAACAAGATAGGACTGTGTGTATTATCCATTTTGACGTTAAATCATCCATCACAAAATGTATTCAAATCCAGTAAATATCGCAGGCTAGCGTTAACATCGAAAGTTGATTATGGTCTGGATAAGTTAATTAATGTCTAATTAATAATTTAGATAACATGTCAGGCCTAAAGAAAGACCTGCAATAGTCAGATTTAACTCAAGTTTAATGTATGTTTGAACATAAGATTTAATAAAATATAATTATTGTTTAAAGATATAGATAGAACTCACAAGGATACACTCTCTTGAACAATTGAATAACCCAAGCGGTATTCAATGGTCATTGAGTTGTGTTTTTATTCTATAACTACATGTAAATCTCAAAATACACTGTGTTTTTATTCTATAACTACATGTAAATCTCAAAATACACTGTACTATCCAGATTATCAAAAACAAAATCACCAATAACTCTAAAATTCATCATAGGTTCCGCCCTTTTTTTCTTTCTTTTGTTACAAAAATTGCGGTTGCTAGTGGTGACTCATTACAGTTTGGTTGTATTCAATGGCTGTATTGAATGATATTGTTTGTATTTGCATGTAGTTAATAGAATAATATGCTCTTACCCTTTTCTTACACAATGTATGTTTAAGAAGTTATATAAGTATGTAAGTGTTATATATTATATAGAGTTGAAGTATGTACTTCTATTTATCACACGTCGACCATATTTTATACTCATATTAAAGTCAAGTAGATCTATAGTTTCAACCTTTTATAGTTAGTTCATATAACTCTTGTTGATTTAACATGGTCATATTTCTACTAATCTACTCAAAAAGTCAGTTGCTACTTACAATAGACAATCGAGTCACGATGGCTCGCTACCCTGGAGGTTGCGTCTTCCATCTCTGCATTGACCAAGAAATTTCATTGGGATTTTCTGACATGGTTTCCCCATGTCAGTGGTGCAGGATGGAGGGTGTGACAAGGACAGCTGTCTAGATGTTCGGATGGTACGAAAACCGAGGACCTGTCTATACATTGGCGTGCACGTAAAAGATCCCTTGGCAGTTGGAATTCGATATAAGCGTATGCCCGTCTTCATTAGCCCAGTTAAGTGGCAAAACAGTAGGACGTTAAACCCCATTTCATTTCATTTCTTTTCCACTAATTCAATCAAACGCTCTTGTTGCAAATTGTAAATTTTTTGGACATGTAATTATAAAAAGGCAGCAACTGAACTAAACAATGTCAAGGTCTGTGCTGTAAAGATAAATTCTCACTTACGTGGGATTCCCCAACTTTTCAGTGATTTTACTGTATGTGTGGAAATACCAAAAATTGCGCGGGGATACCCAGTGCTTTTCCCCTGGCAGAAATGTGTAGGCCTACATGTACGTAGAAAGCGGGCCTTAGGTTGAAACTATACACGGTGGATCATGCTATAATGAAAGAAAGAAATGAGGTTTAACATCCACTCGACACAAACTAGGTCATTTCGGGACTAACATATGGTTCAATTTTATTTCAATAATTCGCTTGCGTGTATGGATCTTTTAGCAGTGGGAGGAAACCGGAGGACCAGGAGAAAAACCACGAGGTTGGACAGGCGACGCTACTCCTTGTCATGTACATTTGGGGAATCGAAACCACGCCAGTTGACTCAATCACAGACCTGATGATACAGCGCACGTGATAACCAATCGTCCATCCAACCCCACTTCCACCTGCAGAAATGTATACATAGAAAGGGAGGTTTAGTTTGAGACTAGAGACGGTAGAATATGTTATGATGAGGCCTGATATAGATGTAGACTAATTTTTAACTAGGAAGTAATATAAATCACAATACACTGAAGTTATTGTTTTAATATCGGAAATACACACTCAAACTTCACTTCATATTAGTTGTTTGATTGGCTAAAACAACACTTGGATATTTTGGGGGATGTTCGATGGGAAAACCCAAAAGATAATAACTGGTTTCAAAATACCGTAGAAAAATGTAGTTTGATATTATTTTCATGGACACCATTCATATGAAATTTGGAAACATCAATCTAGCAAGTCTAGTTGAAAAATAGTTCAAATATTGTGTTTTTCATTCAACTAGTTTATAAAATCATTTACACTAATGTAGGGTACACGTTAGGGTGGCCGATTGGTTTAATCTGTAGGGTACACGTTAGGGTGGCCGATTGGTTTAATCTGTAGGGTACACGTTAGGGTGGCCGATTGGTTTAATCTGTAGGGTACACGTTAGGGTGGCCGATTGGTTTAATCTGTAGGGTAGACGTTTGGGTGTCCGATTGGTTTAATCTGTAGGGTGTTTGGGTGGCCGATTGGTTTAATCTGTAGGGTCCACGTTTGGTTGGCCGATTGGTTTAATCTGTGTACTTTAGATTATAAGGTTTGATCCCTGCATTAGCCGAGAAATTTCATCCAGATTTTCCAGCGTGGTTTCCCCCGTGTCAGTGGTGCAGGACGGAGGGCCTGACAATGACAGCTGTCTATTCATTCGAATGGGACGAAAAACAGAGGTTCCGGTGTCCGGGCAAAATTTCCCTCATAGCACACTGTATAGCGTATGCCCGTCTTCATTAGCCCAGTTTAGGAGCAAAACTGTAGCACGTTAAACCCCATTTCATTTCATTTCATTTAGATCATAAGGTCTGTAATTGAGATTCCCTGCTTGTACGTGATGACGAGTAGGGTCGCCTATGGGTTTTCCCCGGGTCCCATGGTTTCTTCCCCCTGCTAATTTAAGACCCCTACACGCAAGCGAAATTATTGAAATAAAATTGAACCATATGTTAGTCCCGAAATGACCTAGTTTGTGTCAAGTTGATGTTAAATCCTCTCTCTCTCTCTCTCTCTCTCTCTCTCTCTCTGTTATTGAGTCAAGTTGCATGGTTTTAAGCTCCAGCTTGTACATGACAAGGAATAGGGTCGGCTGTCTAACCTCGTATTGTATAATTTTAGATAAAATATTGTATCGTATAAAATATTGTATAATTTTAGGTAAAATATTAACAGCTTTATATGATTATTCTGCCAGAACACAAGATGACCTGACCTTTCAAAAAGGTGACAAAATGAAACTCAAAGACGATAGGTGAGTAACTGACCTACGGGGTTTAGGTGACCTTCTGGTCTAACCATGCCCTTCATATCATCAGGGGTGGCTGACTGGTGTTTCACATGCCCTTCATATCATAATAGAATGTAACACATGAACTTACAACTAAGGTTCGTTGACCACCTAGTCTTATCACATGCCCTTCAGATCGTGACTGGGAGCTGTTCCGCCGAATGATCAAGCACATGCCCTTCGGATCATGACCGATGGGCTGGGTGGCCGAGTCATCAAACACATGCTCTTCAGATCATGACTGGGGGCTGGGTGATCAAGCAGATGCTCTTCAGATCATGACTGGGGGCTGGGTGATCAAGCAAATGCTCTTCAGATCATGACTGGGGGCTGGGTGATCAAGCAGATGCTCTTCAGAACATAAGGCATGTAAATCCATCTAAGTGCTGTGGCTTCGATCCCAAGTGATGTTGATTTGTGATTTATATATTAATTGTTAGTAACAGTGATATTGATTGGCTATTTGTATATTAATGGTTTATTACAGTGATGTTGATTGGTCATTTATTTAAATGTTTGTAACAATGATGTTGATTGGGTGATTTCTATATTAAATGTTTATTACAGTGATTTTGATTGGTGATTTATATATTAATTTTTTATTTTTACAGTGATGGTGATTGGTGGTTAGCAATACATGATAATGGATCAGAAGGATATGTACCAAGGAATTACGTCGCTCTGGAAAACACCCTCGAATCACAAGAGTAAGTCACCTGAGAGCATCAATGTGTCAGAAGACCAGTGATCGTTTTTTAAAATTTAACAGAAATAAGGGGCTGAAAGGTAGTACGCTAACTCAGAGGATTACACAAATTGTCAATTCATGATATCTGAATCACCTGACATGTGAGCTTTAGGTCATAAGTTTTTTCATTGAGTTAGGTGACGTGGATTCAATCCCACACCTGTACGTGGCAAGGAATGGGATCGTCTGTCCAACCTCGTGGATTTTCTACAGATCCTCCTATTCCCTCCCACTGTTAAAAAAACTTAGACACAAGCAAAGTATTGAATACAATTTAACCATATGTTAATCTCAAATGACGTCAGACATTGGATTAACCAATCAGCGTTGACATGTCTAGTGGGTTACCCACAGTTCTGTGCACCACACGCCAAGACCTCGCCATAACAGACTGTTTCTTGGCTAATCCCTCACATCAATCAGAACGAGGTTTATATAACAACTCTTCCAGATCCTAGTGTAGTAAAAACAAATAAAACGAAACGAAATATGATCTGTGTTTTAACCAGATTGTCCGGATCCCAGACAGAATTTTGAATCCTTTTACCTTGCATTCATGGATAACTGCTCTCTCTCCCTCTCTCTCCCCCCTCTCTCTCTCCCTCTCTCTCCTTCTCTCTCTCCCTCTCTCTCCCTCTCTCTCTCTCTCTCCCCCTCTCCCTCTCTCTCCCCCTCTCTCTCCCCCTATCTCTCTCTCTCTCTCTCCCTCTCTCTCTCCCCCTCTCTCTCTCTCTCTCTCTCTTTTCCTCTCTCTCTCTCCACTGTTATTTTGTATCAAGTTGAAGTAGCTTTCAAAGTTTACACTGTTACATTTCTGGGTTTTTTGTTGTATGCGGTATCCCGTCTTGATTGACCCAGATTAACCCAGATTAAGCCAGATTGAGAAGAAAAGTAGAATATTAAACCGATGTTATTTATGATTTATATGCGTACATGTATGGTTGTTATTTTAGATGGTTTATGGGGCAGATTACGAGAAAAGAAGCTGAACGTCAAATATTAACGCCAGGATTAAGTTGCGGAACATATCTAGTTAGAGAAAGTGAAACATGTCCAGGTTCGTACGTATTTTTATCTGCCGACTTTCAAAGGAAGCAAGGAAATATTAAAATGGATCTGTCCGTCTGTCTGTCAGTCACAATAACTCTGCTTCTAACAGAGTTAATTTGTTCAGACTGGGCCTAGCGATTCATTAGGTGGATGACATAACCGAGTGGTTTGGGATATGATAACTTTGATTCTAATTGAGTGAGCAGGATGATTATGTTGACACACAATCTGGTTCTTATTAAGTTAGCCTGTGTAGTAATATGGATGAGAAACGTAAATCTGTGATGATATCAAATATGAATTTGATATATGAGTAGGCCATAGTGCCACTGCCTGGGCAAAATTTCACACTGTATGGCGTATGCCTGTCTTCATTAGCCCAGTATAAGAGTAGAACAGTAGGACGTGAAACCCCATTTTATTTCACTTATCAGTAATCGATTTTTTGGAGTGGAAGCCATTGTTATATTATGTATGTTATGTTTTCAGGGGCGTATAATAATGAAAGAAATATATTATATTACAGGGGCGTATGTATTAACAATGAGAGATTATGTTGAATCGCGAGGGGATTGTGTTAAACATTATAAAGTACGCAGTCTGGATAACGGTGGATGTTACATTACAGCACGAAGAACATTTAATAATGTTATTGAACTTGTTCACTTCTATAAAGGTAAGAATAAAACTCAGTAAATATTTGTCACCTCAGAATGAAACTCGAAGAATAAAACTCAATAAATATTCGTGACCTGAGATAGAAACTCACAAGTCTTGTACGATAGAAACGGGGAGCCACAGTGGTTCTGTGAGTAAGATGTTGGCTCGCTAACCTGTAGGTCCAATCTTGCGATCCTTGTCCCGTCTTCATTAGCCCAGTTTAAGAGCAGAACAGTAGGATGTTAAACCCCATTTCATTTCATTTCAATTTCTGTGCTCATAGAGAAAATTCATTGTGATTTTCCGTCGTGGCTCCCCCTGGCTAGGGACAGCGGTCTAGTCGTTCGGATGGGATGAAAAAAGAAGGTCCTGTGTACACATTGGTGTGCACGTAAAAGATCCCTTGGCTGTTGGAATTCGATATAAGAGTAGGCCATAGCGCTGCTTTACTGGCAAAATTTACCTCATAGCACACTGCATGGCATATGCCCGTCTTTATTAGCGCAGTCGGAGCAGAACAGTAGGACGTTAAACCCCATTTTTCATTGTGGTAGTTACCATCAATCCACACATCTTGTCAAAACTACAACCATCGACAAATTTGCTCAGAATAAAGTAATTTGGATGATATTTTCAATATATTTATTTTTCATTATCTTATTTTAAAATATTATAGGAAGAATGTCCTGTTCATTATCTAAATCTTACATAATGCCCATTTAATTCAACGAAATCGGTTTATGTTAGAAAATAGACAAAAAAATAACACAAAACCACATGTACTCATTCGAATGTATGTAAAAAAAACTTGCGATGTGAGCAAAACGCTGCTATGTGAGCAAAGTTTCTCGTAGAGCACGGCACTACATTGACCCGGGTGGGTGCAGAAGAGTAGCGCTACATTGACCCGGGTGGGTGCAGAAGAGTAGGGCATTCAAAAAAAAAAAGTTTCATTCCATTTCTGTACTCTTAATCCAGTTTCCTCCCACTTCTAAAGACCCGTACGCGCAAGCGAATTATAGAAATAAAATTGAACCATGTGTTAGTCCCAAAATGACCGGGTTTGTGTCGAGTGGATGTTAAATCCTATTTCTCTCTCTCTCTCTCTGTACTCTTAACATTATAGGTGTGAAATTTGGAAAATATGTTTATTGACTTCTTAAAAAAAAAAGGTGGGGAGTGGGGAAATATCACAAATGAAAACAGAACTCAGTTATCTTATCTTTTTCTCCAGATTCAGCAGACGGTTTGTGTCGTCAGTTAACAGATCCATGTCCGAAACCAAAGCCAGTTATGGATGATTTATCCAAGGAAACCAGAGACGATTGGGAAATTCCACGAGAAACTTTAACGTTCGGTAAACGACTGGGTGCTGGTCAATTTGGTGAAGTATGGAAAGGTAAATTGATCATCAATATGATTTATTGCATTTATTTCCTTTTAATTTTACGATTATTGCAAACATGTTCCCCAAAAAAACAAGGGAGATTGAGAGGAAAAAATGTGCTGGGCAAGACCTTTTTACGAAAGCCCAGAAGGCTCATTCCAAATTCCAAATTTGATATTTTGCCCCCCCCCCCCCCTGTCATTTTTCCAACACTAGTCATATTTAGATGATTCACTAGCAGATTGCGATAAAAACGAAAAAATTTGTACATACTTGTACTTATATAAGCTTCAAAGAAACAAAAAAAATTCATGCAGAACTACCCATTTCAATTTTGAACTTTGATATTCATGGGCTCCATTGACTCTTATGGACCCTGGGGCGGCACACCGCCAGCACCCCCCCCCTTCCCATTTTGTGAGGGCTGAAAGCAGAAGACTATTAACATGGGTTCAGATGGCTGTCCGTCAAGCACGGGATATAATAAGTCTAATTGAGGTAGAATGTTCAGACTTGGTGTAGTTTGTTTGTTAGTCTAATGATGTGATTAAATTTCACGATGAACATCTTCTGCTTATGCTAAGCATTGAAATGGGGTTTAACATCCTACCATTCTGTTCCGACTGGGCAGATGAAGACAGCTTATGCTAAGCAGAGGTGACCAATTTGGGACCCATTTCTAATGAAACCTGTGCGCAAACAAATTATTTGAAATAAACACGTATTGTATGTTAGTCCCAACTTGACCTAGTTTATGTTGAGTGGGCGTTAAAGATTAAAACCTCCTCTTGTTTTTTTTCCAGGACAATATATGGAGTCGACAGACGTAGCCATTAAAACACTGAAAGTAGGAACCATGTCGCCCGAAGCATTTTTAGCGGAAGCTCAAATCATGAAGGAATGTAGACATGATAAGCTAGTCCGACTTTACGCCGTCTGCACCAAGGAGGAGCCTATTTATATTATAACTGAACTGATGACAAACGGTGCCTTGTTAGAATATCTACGAGAAACTGATGTGATAGAACTCCCAGTTCTTATTGACATGGCTGCTCAGGTAATCTTATTGATTTGGTTGCTCAGGTAATCTTACTGGGGGGTTGAATTGCCTAATGGTTACCATGTGCGTGTTGTATCATAAGGTCTGTCATTGAGTCAACTGGCATGGTTTTGATTCCCCGGTTGTAAGTGACAAGGAGTAGGGTCGCCTGGTCAACCACGTGGGTTTTCTCTGGGTCATTTTGGGACTAACATATGGTTCAATTTTTATTTCAATAATTTGCTTGCGCATAGGAGTTTTAGCAGTGGGAGGAAACCGGTAGACCCGGAGAAAACCAACAAGGTTGGACATGTCTCCTCACACTGTGAAAGACGAACCATATGTTAGACACGTTAAACCCCATTTTTCTTTCTCTCTATTTCTCCCTCTCTCTCTCTCTCTCTTCTCTCTCTCTCTTAAACACTGTTACTCTCATTCCATTGATAATTTATTACATATGACCTAAAATAACCCCAACTTCCATTAATATTTTATTACATCAGTCCTAAAATAACCCGAACTTAAGTTCAATTGATAATTTATTTGAAAAAAATAACTTACCCCAATTTGAGATAATAATTTATGATATTTTTGAGTTTTTATGAGAATTTATTATTATATTTTAATATAGATTGCAAGTGGTATGAGTTATCTAGAAGGAAGGAAATTCATTCATCGTGATTTAGCTGCTAGAAATATTCTCGTTGGTCAAAATAACGAAGTGAAAGTAGCAGATTTTGGTTTAGCTAAAGTTATAGAAGATGATGAATATAACCCGAAACAAGGTACGTATAACAAGTTTTATCATTGTCTCAATTTATACATAGATAATCGGGGGGTTGAATGACCGAATGGTTAGCACGTGCGTGCTGTATCAAACGGTCTGTTATTGAGTCAACTGGTGGGGTTACGATTTCCCGGTTGTACGTGACAAGGAGTAGGGTCGCCTGTCCAACCTCATGGGTTTTCTCTGAGTCCTCCGGTTTCCTCCCACTGCTAAAGACTCCTACGCGCAAACGAATTATTGAAATAAAATTGAAACATGTGATGTGATAGTCCCGAAATGACCTTGTTTGTGTCGAGTGGACACTAAACCCCATCTCTCTCCCTTTAGGCCTGAAATGTTATATAAATTATTAATTAGACATTAATTAACTTATCCAGACCATAATCAACAATCGATGTCATCGCTAGCCTGTGATGTTTACTGGATTTGAATACATTTTGTGATGGATGATTTAACATCAAAATGGATAATCAAGACTTTGTTTTTTATCGTACTGACTTTAGTAATGATGATCGAGGTTAGGCCTAAAATTCAAACACTGATATCTCATTTCAGAGTGGAGTAATTTGACTGAAATTTTCATCATATTCTATTTATGCTATTAATTTTTTTAACTATTATATCAAGAACTGTCAGTTCTTTATCTAATCTCCCATAATGTCCCTTTAAACATCTGGCTCCAAGTTCACAAAGTATTCTCAGACTTCAGTTAAGAATTTATTCAACTTTCAATCACTGTTTATGAGAAATATCTTTGATCCAGAAACACAAAACATTGTACATAGATAGTTTCTTATTGATGTATTTGATACATTAAAACAACAAAAGTTGTATAAAGGGCTATATTTTAGTTAAAATAAGGAGAACAATTTTTAGTAAATTCTTAATTTAAGTCTGAGAATGCTTTGTGAATTCGGGGCCTGGATTAATGAAAATAGACATACAGTGGGTTATGAGGGAAACACCAACCAGTGGAAACCTGGATGAGAGGAACTCGATACTGAGATGGATCAGGGAACCTTGTTAGTCAGTGTCAGCGCAATACTCCCTCAACCACCATGACTCCATGATACTGTTTTAACAAATATATACCATTTAATTATCTAACTAAATCTATGTATTACAGGTGCTAAATTCCCTATTAAATGGACAGCGCCAGAAGCAGCTCTATATGGTAAATTCACCATCAAATCTGATATATGGTCATATGGTATTCTTGTTATGGAACTAATGACAAAAGGACAGGTACCATATCCAGGTAGGTTTTTATAAAACAATCAAATATCCTCTATTATATATGTGGTAGGTAAGTGACTGATTGATCTAACTCATCAGTATCAGGGGGGTGGGTGGGGGGTGAATGGTCTAACACATACGCTTTAGATCATGAGGTCTGTCATTGAATCAAGTTGCATGGGTTCGATTCCCAGCTTGTACGGGACAAGAGGTAGGGTCGTCTGTCCAATCCTGTGGGGTTATTCTGTGTCAAAGACCTCCGGACGTAGGCACATTGTTGAAATGAAATTGAACCATGTGTTAGTCCCAAAATGGACTAGCGAAAACATGTCAGCTTAATGATGCAGTATTTTACACTAAATGTTATATAGAGAATTTCCAAATATACACAATAATCAATCAACTAGACGCTGTCCTCGGTCCTGCACCACCGACGAGGGGAAACTCCACTGCAAAATCCAAGGGAACTTACACAGCCAACACTGGCTTGAACTTTGAACCACACAAACTTCCTAAATATAGACAGAAGATACCCACTTAGTTAATCAAATCGGGGGGTTGGATGGCCGGATGGTTAGTAGACTGTATCATAAGGTCAGTCATTGAGTCAACTGTCGTGGTTTCGATTCCCCGGTTGTATGTGACAAGGAGTAGGGTCGCCTGTCCAACCTCGTAGGTTTTCTCCAGGTCCTCCGGTTTCCTCATACTGCTAAATACCCCAACGCGCAAGCGAATTATTGAAATAAAATTAAACCATGTTAGTACTGAAATGTGTTAGAGTGGACATTAAACCCCATTGCTGTCTCTTTCTCTCTCTTCGGCCATTTTTTTTTTCTTAACCAGATCAACAAGATTTCGTTCTAAAACCATTTTGTCATTTTATTTGTAATGTTAAAGTGATTTTTATGTATGGTGTGACCTTGCTAGTGGAGCAGGACGGAGGGCCTGGCAAGGGACAATGTATAGTCATTCGGAAGGGACGGAAAACAGGTCCTCTGTACACATTGGCGTGTATGTAAAGATATTTTGGCAGTTGGAATTCGGTGCCCATCTTCATTAGCCCAGTTGGTGCAGAACCCCATTTCATTTTTTGTGTGTTTTTTACAGGTATGGGTAATCGTGAAGTTTTGGATCAAGTCGAACGAGGATACAGAATGCCACGCCCTAAAAATTGCCCACAGCCAGCTTACGATATGGTTTTGAAATGTTGGGATAAACGCTCAGAAAATCGACCAACTTTTGAATATTTGTTTAATTTTTTCGATGATTATTTTATTTCTACGGAACCAAGTTATAAAGACGCGGAATAAATAGTATTTATTATTCATACATTCTAATTGTTATTATCATCTGGGGGGATTTGTTTATTTAAACCGGGAAGCTATGCAACCCCCTTTTTTTACGATCTGAAGCAGGGTTTTTGTTTCAGTGAAATTGACTTGCAACTGTCACTTAGTTTACATGACATGGAATTAAAATTTCAAAGCATTTAAAAACCTTAAAATACAATATAAGGAATTAAATTTATAGTTTTTATGTTTCTAAACACTTAAAGAAATAGGATAATGATTGTCATATTCCTTTAAATAAAAAAATCTTGTTAATCGGAGGTAATTAAGATACGTGAAAACTTGACAAACATCTAAAACTTGGAATTGACAGCCCTTATCTAAATGTATATTGAAATTAAATTCGACCTGCTGTATTTTCTAAATTGACATCTGATTGGCTTCTTGTAATAATCAGATAATTTCATTGGATTACATAGTTTAGAAAATGTTCTTATAAGGATGGCTAGCTAATTTATTTTCACATATTTGAACCAGGAACTATTTGTTTTAAGGCCAACGCTCTTCAAAAACAAAGTCTAAGGCTCCGAGTACAATCGGTCAGAAGCATGGCGTGCATGTTTAGACATTTATACATGGACTATTGATCGATATAACTTCGTAATTCCAAGATGGCTGTTTCCTAGTTGATAGTAGAGTCGTACTTGTTAATTCCGAGATGGCGCTGTTTCCAGATGTTTAATAGTGTCGTATTAACTGTTTAATTCCTGAGTATTTTATTTGTTAATGATTTTCTTGTTTTAAAGAGACCATGTTATTGAGGACAACTGTCAATGATTTTAATTTGTTTGTTATTGAGATCAATGTGAATTCAATGATAATTTAGTTAATTTTTTTTATATATTCTAAATAGTTGCTTGTCTTATACCATGTAGCATGTTGCTCAACATGTCCTCCATCTTGACATATGAATATTATTATAACAACCAGGCAATCACCTTTCTGTAAGTTATGCAATGTCACATGCGGTTAGCTAACGGTCATTTTGCTCAACCAATTAATGGAAGACGCAGGAATACAACATTGTTAAAGCCCTATTTAAACTCCTCAACCATATTTACATAAATTTACAAGGGAATGGAAGAACGAGGCTAGACATATTCCACAAGATATGTCAAACGGTGACACCATATTCATATCTGGAGAGCATGTGCATTAAGTACTATCGGTGTAGACTGGAATAACCAGACGCTAGAGATTGCCATTCGATTGAGACTTCTGGCGTACTTCGCCGAACATAACTGATTTGAAATTAGAATATAAAAATGTAAATCAGTTTATATACATTCATTTTAAATTATTTATATGTGTTGCGAGTCGCGACCCATTTGTTTCAATTTCTAGGTCCCAAATATTAGCTATTTAGCTCCTTTAAAATTAGATAACATCTGGGTCCTTATTCCTGAAAACTTAAACTAGAAATTTTAAGAATCCTGGTTTTTCATTGGCTAAAAGCTAAAATTTGTACTAATATTTTAATCCCCAACCAATCAAAAAGCAGGATCCTTAAAATATTTTAGTTTAAGTTTTTGTGAATTAGGCCCCTTTCCTTTGTTTACCTTTAATAGGCATTTAGTAATTGGATATATTAAAACAAAGTACAATTTGATGGAAACATAATTACTGAGTTTAATACTAAGCGACGTTTCGACGCGTATACTCTCGTCTTTATCAACTATGTGTGTTGACGGTAGACATATATATATATATAATATGCAACAACAGTAACCATGAAATACAATTTAAACTTATGCTAGGTTCAAACTGCCGTGTGGTGCTTTACGACAGGGCTGTCCCTATTGAGTCCACGATCTGGTACGCTTCGATACGATCAACACGATTGCTACAACTGATCTCAATATATGAGAAGACCTGATAGGATCACCACGATTACTCCACGATTAAAACCACCATTTCAATCATAGCGTGAATCGTGATAGTGGGAATCTAGCATTATGGGTAACGTTGTATTGTAATAAACTCAGTAATTGTTTATCGTTATTTGTAAATATGATTATAGATACCTCGAGGGCCTTACACAAAACTATTATATATTTATATAAAACTAAAATCTTGAATATTTTTTATACGTTCATATATTTTATATCAATTTAATCATATTATATAGATATTTATTATTATCATGTTATCAATTTCTGTATACGGATCTAGATTGACAATTTGATATACATCTATAAGGCAAACAGGGTTGGATTCACATACTTGTATACCCCAGGACAAAGTCTTCAGTGGGCCCTGAAATTTAAATTACAGGGGGTCCCCAGATACATGTGGGTCCTAGACCAATGCCCTTCTATGCATATTGATAACTAGGTTAGAATCAGGTTCAGTAAATCCCTGAAAAACATTTTCATGATGTTGTCGCGCTACAAAGCACGAGCCGGATAGAAAAATTACGTGAAGATTCAACTTCATGAAACTAAATTCCAATCACTTACCCTGGATTGCCGGTTACTTGAGTTTTTTTTATTTGTTTATTTGTAAATTGATTAACTGTAAAAAAACCTTTTATTATTAATACTTATATTGCTTTATCAAAAAAAAAGAATTAAATTAAAATTTAAAAACAAAACATTGTCAACAAACCATCAAGACATCAAGCCTGTTTCCCTGGAAACGGTCCCGTTACATTTGTATTACTTTATTAGACAGACATTTTTTGCTGGTGTAAAAACATGCGAAAACACAACGAAAAAGCATACATGAAAAACAGGCCCTAGACAGGGAGTGAAAGTTAAGAATTATATTTTTTCATTAAAATATTTAACTAGTATTATTTGTATCAGGATGTTTAATATGTTTTATTAGCTGGCCTGGTAATCGGGGCCCAATTTAACAACTACTGGTGGGGTTGTGCCTTTAACTCCGCAAGCCTATGTTGCTCCCTGGTCCGGACTACTTCTATACACCAATATCAGCTTCGGGACAGCCCTTAACAAACGACAGTCACAAATATTAATATAGCTATTAAAAACACAGAAAAAGAGAAATATTTGTTAGATACAATGGCTGACAATGTCCGTAAGTAACAGGTGCCTTGTTAATTTATATGGCTGTTTCTTAGAAACTTTTTATATTAGATTTTAAGGAGAAATGAACAAATGACAACAGAGTGAGGTCTTGTTTACACTGTAACGCCTGTTTTACATGTGCATGCTTTTTGTGGCATCACTGGCGAACAGGGCTGCCTGATGCATGCACAAATATAATGGGACCGAACGAATGCCACAAATCACATATATGGAAAACAAGCTTTACGCTTTATTTCATCATGGAGATATTCTAAGTTATTTGTTTTCTACAAAAAATATATACCGGTAGATTGTGGTTAGAATATTGCCAAAATCTCTTGAGTGCCTTGTACGTCGTCGTTGTTTTCAATTTTATAAAATATATTTGTATCACAGTTTCATGTACATATTTTAACAGATACTGAAATCATTTTCCTTGAAATAATCAGTCGTAGATTTAACTGGTTTTTATGTCATCTGAAAAGTGATTCCTTTGTTAATCTCAAATTAATCTCATTGTAGATTTAAATGTTTATATGTCAACTGAAAGTTGATTCCTTCCTTATTCTAAAATAATTGATTAATATTGATCTCTATAAATGTTCTATTTCTACCAGTCATAATAAAGTATCAAATGTTAAGGTCAGCTCAATTTGTGTCAAGGTCACTGATATGTAAATAAGGTTAGGGCACGTGATTGTTGGCGAGATTGTAGGTTAGGGTTAGGGTCAGCATTGGGACTAAGGCTAAGTCCAGGGTTAAGGTTGGGATTAGCACTAGCCCTGTTGACATCTCGTGAGCTGGCCTTATCATTTAGCACTAACCAGTGTAGGGATTTCACCGTTATCATTGGAAATATTTTTAGTGATTAACACCCAGTGGATTTAATGCCTTATGCCCAGGACGTCGACATTGTTTTTGTATAAATCATAAAAGATTAATTTGTTATTGCCTATAAAAACAATGGCCACATCCTGAGAAGACACCGATTTATTAAAACCAAAGTCTATGTTGTCTTTATGAAGCCAGTATATTATTTTTAATTCATGGACCACTATCATTGTTTTTACTTCATCAAGCTTGTTGTGTTATAACTTTATTTTAAATTTCAAGAAGATATAATTTAGTCATTGTAAATGTATAGTCACGCTTTAATCTTGCTTCGTTCATCACGTATTTCATACCTTGATTAAATACATGATCTAAACATTCACCATATAAGACTATAATAGTGATAGGTGTAGTATATTAGGTAGGATATGCTGACAATTTCTAGAATATCTGATGTTATTTTTTTGTGCTTTTGTATTATTGCCCGTGTAGGACATGACAAGGTCGGCCAATGAAGTCAAGGTATCTGATACATGTTGTTACAGTACCTTAACACATTCTGGTATTTTATTCGCAAAAATTTAAACTAAAAATTTTTTAAGAATGCACACCACACTGCCGAGACAGTTCATCGGGATTTTCCGGAGTGGTTTCCCCTTGTCAGTGGTGCATGACGAGGGGCCTGACCAGGGTAGCTGTCTAGTTATTTGGATTGAATGAAAAACCGAGGTACCGTGTACACATTGGCATACACGTAAAAGATCCCTTGGCTGTTGGAATTCGATATAAGACAGTAAGACGTTAAACCCCATTTCATCTCAAGATTATACTAAGATTTTAACGCCAAACGGCTGCATCTTCAGAATATTTTAACTTAAGATTTTGTGAATAAATCCTCCTTGTTTTTTTAACTTTAATATATTTTTAAACCACTTAAATATTAGATAAACTATTTTATTTATATAAAGGATTTATTTGTATATTTCTCATTTAGTGCAATCATCGATTTACATTTTTTTGCGACGACATTCTATTCGATGAAGAATGACTTTTTGTTTTGTTAAGATTAGTTTAAAGTTGGATTACTTAGATGATTGGGGCCATGGGGCCATATTTGGGCCATGATGATTGGGGCCTTGGGGCCATGATGATTGGGACCATGATGATTGTTTTGTTAATGAAATGGAGGTTATTTTTCTTCTTCTATTAGTGATATTGGGGACAAGTTGTCTTATTTTGTTATTTTAGCGCATGTGCAGGGGTCTGTCCTGTTGGAGAAGGTGGCAGACGCCCCTATCTCCAAGCCACATACGCTCACACCAGGGATCGAAACCACAACCGGCCAGCTAGAGGTCGAAGGGTGACACTCTAGACCACTCTAGGCCTCCCAACCCCTTCGTTCGTTCGTTTCTAGACTTTTACGTCCACTTTCACCTAAGGTGATATCGTAGACCAGTCATCCCAACCCCCTAAGAAATCCAGCTTTATAGTATGTTTTGTTAATTAGGCCAAACTCGAGAATACCTGTGTTTACGGTTTTTCAATCGGGACCCAATTTAACCATAAACACAGGTAGTTTTATGTTTGGCCTTAAAAGTGTGGAATATTTTTTTATGTTTGATGTTTTGTGCTTCTATTTGTTTTTTTTCTTTTTGTGTGAAAATAATGTAAATATTTATAAAATAAATATATAATATATTACTGTCCTTTTTCTATCTCTTATTCACCACTCACTGCTCATTTTAGTCCGGAGGTCATGGATTCGCTCCCGGTGTTGGCAGAGAAAGTTCATCAGGGTTTTCCATCGTGATTTCTCCCTTGTCTTTGGTCTAGGATGGAAGGACTGACAAACATAGCTATCTAGTCATTCGGATGGGATGAAAATCTGAGGTCCCTTGTGCACGTAAAAGATCTATTGGCAGTTGGAATTTGATATGATAGGTTGTATGGAGCAATTTCCCTCATAGCACATTGTATGGCATACTTCCGGCTTCATTAGCCCAGTCGGAGCAGAACAGTAGGACGTTAAACCCCATTTCATTTCATTCATAATAGAGGGTTTGGGTGCACTTTAAATAATAAGTTCTGTCATTGATTCAAGTGGTGTCGTTTTGATTTCCCACAAGGAGATGGGTCGTCTGTCTAAATTCATGGGTTTTCTCCAGGTCCTCTGGTTCCCTCCCATTGCTAAAGAACCCTACGCGCAAGGCAATTTGTGCAATAAAATTGAACTATATGTTAGTCCCGAATTGACCTAATTTGTGACGAGTGGTTGTTAAACCCTCATTTCTCTCACTCTTTTTAGTCCTTTTTGTCAGTATAGGGGGTGAGGGAATTCGGATAGATCTAGCTGCCTCTAGATGAAAAAAATTGTCTTAAACTTTTGTTCTGGATAGAGAAACTTTGTAATTGGAATCCTGGAGGTCTCCTGTTCCTTTCCTGTGTTGGCTGAGGTAGTTTCTCAGGGTTTTTCCAGCATGGTTTCCCCTCATGCAGTATGGAGGGCCTGATAAGAACAGCTGTCTAGTCCTTAGGATGGGAAAAAAACAAAGTCACATAGCAGAGAGAGAGAAATGGGGTTTAACGTCCACGCGACACAAACTAGGTCATTTTGTGACTAACATATGGTTCAATTTATTTCACTAGTTCTCTTGTGCTTAGGGGTCTTTAGCAGTGGAAGGAAACTGAAGGACCCAGAGAAAACCCATGAGGTTGGACAGGCAACCCTACTCCTTGTCACATACAACTGGGGAATTAAATCACTTAACATGGTAGAGAAAAGTAGGGATGTTAAATTCCAATTAAAATTAATATTGAAGTAAAATAATATGAAATATTATTTATGGTCTGAATACGATAGTCTAGTAATTAGATACTAACGATCCATATGTACTGAGTTGTATATCTTACAATAATAATTGACCTAGAAATACATACAGAGAGACTAGGTAATTTCGGGACTAACACATGGTTCAATTTTATTTCAATAATTCGCTTGCTTGTAGTGAATTTGGGCAATGGGATGAAACTGTTGGGACCTGGTGAAGACCCAAAAGGTTGGACAGACGACCCTACTCCTTGTCACGTACAAGCGGGGAATCAAAACCATGCCAGTTGACTCAATGACAGACCTTATGATCTAAAGTGAACAAGTTAGACCATTAGCCCCCCTCCCCTCCCTTCCCATACAATTCTAGAGAGAGGGGGAGAAAGAAATGATGTATAACTCAACTCGATGACAGACCTTATGATAAAAAGCGCACCACCAGGATTTGCTGTGTCCGATCCCTTCGCCGGTGTATAATAGTGTACAGTGCCGTCTGTCTAGATGTTAGATATAGCTTTTTAACACACATATAATAATATTCTATAAACACAAGATGATATATTGGTATCTAATTTATTCTTAGATAATAAAATCATTCAAAGTTTTATATAATTACTGTTTGTTCTTCAGCAGGTTTAGGACAGCACAATTACTCTACTTCCATCTATTTGCATAGTACATGCAGAACAATAAATATCTAACAATTTGCATACATAATACTTCTATCTGAATATTATTATTTTGAGCTACACATGAAATTTGAGCTAGTCCTAAGAAATTGAGCTACACATTCTATAAAAGGCATATAATTACATTCATTAGATACAAAAGGATATAGACTCAGAAACAACTGGAGCGATTCCAAAGATAGGTTGCCAGGCAACAAAACATACGCCCACAGCAGCTAAGTAATCCGAGCAGTCCACAAGTGTTGTCACATATTTATTCTTTTGTCAGTAATGAGAACATTGACAACACACGAAAATCTGATTACGAGTAACAACCCATGAAGTAATTAGAATTTGTTTTGCTTGTTTGTCTCATGACCTTAAACAATTTATATTTACTTTAGTCTCTAGTGCGCCCACATGATTTTTTAAAGTGATCAAGGGCCTTAACTCTGGCAGTAATTATCGGAAATTGTTAAAATTGAATAGACTTCTTGGTCTCATGACCTTAAACAGTGTGTATACCGGTAAGTTTAAAGTCAATCAGATATTAACTTTGGCCTCTAGAGCTTCTACAAGATTTTTCAAAGTGATCAAGGGCCATAACTCTGGCAGTAATTATCAAAAATAGTTGAAAATCAATAGGCTTCTCCATCTCATGACATTAAACAGTGCATATAAATCTAAAATCAATCGGATATTAGCTTTAGCCTCTAGAGTGTCCACAAGATATTTCAAGCGATCATGAGCCATAACTCTGGCAGTTATTATCGGAAATCGTTGAAAATCAATAGGCTTCTTCGTCTCATGACCTTAAACACTGTGTATAAATTCAAAGTCAATCGGATATTAACTTTAGCCTCTAAAGCGTCCACCAGCTGGCCAGCCATGAGTGATGACAATATACGATTACATTTCAATGTGGGCATCAGATATTAACTTTAGCCTGTAGAGTGTCCACAAACACTTGTGGACGCCGGACGTAAGGACGGGGGCGACAACAATATACGACCACATTTCAATGTGGGCGTATAAAAACCTAATATTGTTCTACAAAACCCTGTATATAAGATCACCTATGAAAAAGTTGATTGATCAGCAATATACAACATGCAAATATAATAGATTAACTAGAAGGCCTTTCATCGACTCATATTATATAGGTCAGCAGTCAGGTTACATGGTCTACATGTAATTATACAAGATTTACAAACACAGATTGCATAAACAAAGATTTTAAAATATACTTTACACACAGATTTTCTTCATTAAAACATTATAAAACTTGAAATTTCTGTGCCATCAATTTTATTGCAAATTAAAAAAGATGGCAACAAAAAACATGTCATGTAATTAAATCTAACACAGGTTTATAATATTATTTAACTTGCCTACTTTTTTTTTTTTTTTTAAATCTTAACCCTTTGCCACTCGGTACTTCGCGACCTGAGAATTACAATGTTCTAACTAATGTCTCGGTCATAATTGAGTTTGATAGTGAATACTGTTGGTATTACAAAGTTCTGTCTAATAACAGGATTTAAAAGGATACAATATAATGATCTTCCGTCCACAACACAATTACAAATTTCTAATTCACTATGTGCACAATTAGAAATCAGGCTTTACAACCGACTTTCTCAAACAGACCAAAATGTTTGTTAGTATCCTGTAATTCTCAGGTTGCAACTTGTTAACATTGACTACCCCATTTTCATTAATGAAAGTAAGAGAACAATGATACATTAATACCAAGTACATCCTTGAACAGATTAAAACCACTGTTTCTTAGACCATCTCAAACTGCCCCTTGTCACGCCAAAAACTTGCCGTAACAGACCGTTTCATTGGCTAATCCTAGTGTAGTAAAGACAAGTAAACAAAATTTTAAACTACAAAAAACGAAACAAAAATGGATCTGTGTTCTAATCAGATTGCCCGAAAATATGTGAATAGGTTTTCGACCGATTACTAGTTTCTGTGGTCGTGACAGCTGTACATGTGACGGGGTGGTTTGGACGGTCTAAGTGCTAAAGGGTTTACTCACTTTACTTGGTAATAAAATTAATACGAAATTCCGGCATTCACAATTATCAAATATCATACTAGTTTAAACAACTCAAACTACATTGTTTCCATGGCAACGAGGAACAGAAGTGGATATATACTGGACGCAATTCTATAATGACTGGGTAACGTTTCTATAGTCTTTATCAACAGGGCAAGCAAGTAATTGTTTATCAAGCTATAACTGTTAATTACTGAAGAACGTTTTCAATGGATTTCTCTAATCATCATTAGTTCAACAAGTTATAACTTTCTGTTCGTAATGAATTGTCAATCTTTAGCAGTAAAAATACAGACTCAGCCCATCATTCTCCACGCAAGTCTCGCTATCCAGCGTCAGTGTGGACTGTAAGGGAAGACAACTCTGTTTGGGAGATTGTCAGACCATGGGAAAGGCTCACTATCCAGCGTTAGCAGCAGAGGTGTGGACTGTAAGCGAAGATAACTCTGTTTGGGAGATTGTCAGACCATGGTAATGGTGAATATACAATAACACAATAATATAAGACAGGAAAGAATGGAAGCACAAGTTTAACACAAAATACAAAATAAACACTTTGGTTGTTAAAAGCAGCATAAAACATGGAGGATAAACTTTCTTAACTTGATATGTATCATTGTTATTTCATTAAATTATCTCCCCTTATTGATCAGAGTCTAGTAAAGAATTTAAAAACACACAATATTAACACAATCTTATTGTTATATAAGAGTCAGACATTTAGTAAAATATCGATACTGTTTGAATATATTACATAATGTCTTGCTAGATACCATTCAACAACTTATAGAAAATACAGACACTATCCCATTGATTAAAATACACATCTATATTTCGTTTTGTTTTTTATACTTTCGATGGCCTCCACTACATAAAGATCTGACCAGTTGTAGTGGAAGGTCACATCAGGGATCATACAAACGGATTTTGACCCTATGACGTCAGGCATTGATTAATGATGTTTCTAGTGGGTTACCCACAGTTCCATGTACCTCAAGCCAAAACTAGCCGTGTAACAGTCCGTTTCATTGGCTAATCCATCAAATAAACTAGAACGTGGGTTATATAACAACTCTTCCAGATCCTAGTGTAGTAAAGATAAGTAAAATGAAATTTTGAACTATAAAAAAAAATGAAATGAAA